GAAATAATAAAACATTTATTTTATATTAAAATAGAATTAATAAAACATTTATATTTTATATAATTTAATAGAACGATAATTTGGCTTTACATTAATTAAAGTAAAGTTTCAATTGATATGATAATATAGATGAATGAGCTATGAAAAATTAGAATAAAATCGGCGCAACATAAAAATAAGTTGTTACTATTTCATATAATTAATAAATTCACTAGCGCCTTCTTCATTAAACAAACTAAATAAAATGTATCAATTGAGAAAAATATTTTATATTCAAATTTTTGCTTTAATTTATGTTTTAAATTATTGTAAAATGTTTTAACGCATATTAAAAAAATCTATTGAAAGTTATTTGATTTAATCTATTCTAGCTCATCCATTTTGAGTCAACGGATCTATTTACAATCTACAATCTACATTTGAATCTACAATATATACGAATCCGTTACCTCAAAATATAATAAAGTTCATTACTCACCGGCACTGATGCGCAACAGCGGAGTTGACGGTCTTGAGGCTACGTTGTCTGTAACACAAATATAAAACCCAAATTATAGCAGCGTCCAAAATATACATGTAATTAATATTTCAATATTTTATATCCGATATGTACAATACTAAAAAGCTCTATATAACTATGGAACAATTCTATAAATTATAAAAAAATTTTTTTTTTGCATAGAAACTTTTATAGGATATATGTAAAAATCTTTTTTTAAAATTTTCTCTTGTTTTATTTATTCAAATAAACAGATTGAATTAATACGCCTACGAGATTTTTAACTAATATAGAAATAATAAATACCCTAGGGTTTAATAAATAATTAATATAAAATAACAAATTACTTACCACAGGGTTGTTCCACCGGTGCCCGATGCCTCTCCTAGGCCTCCTCCTCCTCTCAGGTTGATTCACACGCGCGATACTTTAAACGGCACTCCCGCATTTTTATTAAAAGATTATTTCCGCACTTGTGCGCGCGATACTTTGAACGACACTCCCGCACTTTTGAATTGCTGAGAGACATCCCATTTAGTCGGCAACAAAGTATGATCCTCGATGACAATCGTAAAAACGAGATAAAAGTCCAATGCGACGACGCGAAAACGCTATACCGCGACAACGCGATTCGATTATTTAATTGCGCGATTTTAATTCGAATCATATTTACATGCCGTCGAAAGTCAAACGATAAAGCGGCGAACAAAATATATTTAAATTGAAATATTTTTGAAGAAATTATTTATCAAATTATTTCCCGATACTTGTAATCGCGTATAGGAAATTTAACGGAGTATCTCGCACTACTACTTTACTGCTCGAGTGTTGCCGTGCGAATAATAACATGTAGGAAAGGAATTCGAGCGTCTCGCCCCACTACAGTTCTATTCAAGTGTTGTTGTATGAATGATAACAAAGCCATGAACAATAGCGCGCCAATGTTTACGCCGCTAAGGCCGAATACTATGTTATTGATAATTTGCTGCCGATATATTTTCCGTACTATGACATATATACAAGCGGAATCGTTCAAGTGCGAATGTGAATGATAAGAAATAAGAAGTGGTAGGGGGAAAGGAATTCGACGGAGCGTCTCCCTCAGTACTACAATACTATTCAAGTATCGCCGTGCGAATAATAACAAGGCTGTAATACGTAAACAATAGCGCGCTATGTTTCATAATGCCATTATGAACAAAAGCATTGTAATCCTAGTGTTAAACTGTAACGGTTCCGGCATAAATTAACAGTTACGGCCTGCATAAACCAGCCTTTACAGGAAAAACGGCGGCATGGCCCCTCTCAGGTTTCTCTCTGCTAATAGACATAGGAAATATAGGGAGCTTTCTAGTAAGAAAACATAAATAGACACAATGTTACGCAATTGGCTATTAAATAGAGAATTTTTGAAGACCCTAAAGTTTTTCTATTTGACAGCTAATCATATAATTTTGTGTTTATATGTGTTTCTTACTAGAAAGCTCTCATTGCCGCCAACGACACGAATATTACTGAGCTTGCGCAATATAAGCCAATCAAATTTAGGCACAATTTACCTCGTCGCACTGCCTTGCGCGCGATTTTAATTCGAATCATATTTACATACCGTCGAAATCATACCGTTCGAATCATATTTACATTACCGTCGAAAGTCGAACGATAAAGCGGCGAACAAAATATATTTAAATTGAAATATTTTTGAAGAAATTATTTATCAAATTATTTCCCGATACTTGTAATCGCGTTTAGGAAATTTAACGGAGTATCTCGCACTGCTACTTTACTGCTCGAGTGTCGCCGTGCGAATAATAACATGTAGGAAAGGAATTTGAGCGTCTCACCCCACTACAATTCTATTCAAGTATTGTTGTATGAATGATAACAAAGCCATGAACAATAGCGCGCCAATGTTTACGCCGCTAAGGCCGAATACTATGTTATTGATAATTTGCTGCCGATATATTTTCCGTACTATGACATATATACAAGCGGAATCGTTCAAGTGCGAATGTGAATGATAAGAAATAAGAAGTGGTAGGGGGAAAGGAATTCGACGGAGCGTCTCCCTCAGTACTACAATACTATTCAAGTATCGCCGTGCGAATAATAACAAGGCTGTAATACGTAAACAATAGCGCGCTATGTTTCATAATGCCATTATGAACAAAAGCATTGTAATCCTAGTGTTAAACTGTAACGGTTCCGGCATAAATTAACAGTTACGGCCTGCATAAACCAGCCTTTACAGGAAAAACGACGGCATGGCCCCTCTCAGGTTTCTCTCTGCTAATAGACACAGGAAATATAGGGAGCTTTCTAGTAAGAAAACATAAATAGACACAATGTTACGCAATTGGCTATTAAATAGAGAATTTTTGAAGACCCTAAAGTTTTTCTATTTGACAGCTAATCATATAATTTTGTGTTTATATGTGTTTCTTACTAGAAAGCTCTCATTGCCGCCAACGACACGAATATTACTGAGCTTGCGCAATATAAGCCAATCAAATTTAGGCACAATTTACCTCGTCGCACTGCCTTGCAGCTCGCAGTGGCTTTCCCCCGCAATAATTTGCTCGGTCTTTATATGTCTATGTTGTCAACTGATCGCAGATCACAGCTGATTCGTGTCCCGTCACTGAATTATGCATTTAATTAACAAATATTGGTAAATATATCGAAATATTATTAATATATGTAAAAATTTCGTGGCTATAACATACATATATATTTGTATATAAATTCGTCATCGTATATATATTTGTTCTGATATTCGTTGATATATTTTTATCATCGCTTTTATAGATAATAATAATTATATCTTATAGATAATAATAATTATATTTTATAGATAATAATGTCTGCAATAAATATAAAAGCGTTCACCTGTGAGAAAGTCTTGAATTTTTTGAGATCGTTCGACACCGTGTTGACAGATTGCGACGGTGAGTGGAAATCGTGTGCGAATATGCGCTTCTACGATGATAGTTATGTAGATATCTTTTTTAGGAGTGCTATGGATGCATATGACACCTCTGCCGAATTCGTCGGACGTGATGAATCTGTTTCGCAAGCTTGGCAAACGAGTCTTCTACGTGACCAACAACAGTACAAAGACGCGCGATGATCTAGTGGAGAAGTGCAAGGCTTTGAAATTCCAGGCGAACAAGGACGATATCTTGTGCACTGCTAATTTGTCAGCTTGTTACTTACAAAGTCTAGGCTTTTCCAAGAAGACCTATATTATAGGTTCCGAAGGTAAAGTTCTATATGTTTATGAGAGAATCACGTGCTATAAAATATATTCTATGCGGCCATTACTTTTATATAGCAATTGCAAGGGAATTGGAACAAGTTGGTATCTCGTATTATGGAATAGGGCCAGATATAATTAATCCAAATAGTCCATATTCGGTTTTTGAGAAAGATCCAGAAGTAGCTGCTGTTATAGTTGGTTTTGACGAGCACTTTAGCTATCCTAAAATGGTAAAAGCAGCCACCTATTTAAGTGACGCTAGTGTACATTTTATTGGTACCAATACAGATGAAAGATTTCCAGTTTCAAATGATGTTGTTATACCTGGTAAGTATCAAGATATTTTATATACTGCTGTATTAAAATTTAAATATAATATACATAATAATGTATATTTCAATACATATTTCCATTAAACGTCCGTAATTTTTTTCAATACAGGTACAGGAAGTTTAGTAAGATGCATAGAAAGCTGTTCAGAGAGAAAAGCGGTAATCATGGGTAAACCAGAAAAATATATGGCTAAGATGTTGAGGGAACGATCTAATATTGATCCCCAGCGCACTTTAATGATTGGAGATCGTTGTAACACTGATATACTTTTTGGAACTCGTTGCGGTTTTATAACGTTACTAGTCCTGACGGGAGTGACTGCTTTGTCAGATGTTGAGAAGTGGAAGCAATCCGAACAAGAAGAAGAACGGAATCTTATACCTAATTATTATATAGATGCACTCGGCGATTTATTACCATACTTAAAAGAATTAGAATCTGAAATATCTTAACTTTATGAGATTTAGCCACAAATTAAAAGGAAAATATGTACATCAAAACATATTCATAGTCAAAGCCAAGTGATAACATATTTTAGGGAGAGTATGCTTGTACATACGCAAAAAATCGCGCACATAAATATGTATGTGTGTATATATAATTATCCAATAGGTGTGACGAGATATTCTAGGTATTTTTATCGATTATGTGTAAGTCATTGAGAACTTACTCTTCTGTATAAAAAAAAAAATTAATAATATAAATTAAAGATATAT